TGAGAAGCTTCTGTAAAGCAAAGGACACTGTTGCTAAGACAGAAAGGCAACCCACTGACTGGGAGAAGATCTTCACCAACCCCACAACTGACAAAGGTCTGATCTCCAAAATATATAAAGAACTCAAGAAACTAGACCGTAAAAGGCTAATCAACCCAATTATAAAATGGGGCACTGAGTTGAACAGAGATCTCTCAACAGAAGAAGTTCAAATGGCCAAAAGACACCTAAGGTCATGCTCAACTTCCTTAGCGATCAGGGAAATGCAAATCAAGACAACTTTAAGATACCATCTTACACCTGTCAGAATGGCGAAAATCAAAAACACCAATGATAGCCTTTGCTGGAGAGGTTGTGGAGAAAGGGGTACACTCATCCATTGCTGGTGGGAATGCAAACTTGTGCAACCACTCTGGAAAGCAGTGTGGAGGTTTCTCAGGAAATTTGGGATCAACCTACCCATGGACCCAGCAATACCACTCTTGGGAATATACCCAAGAGAGGCCTTATCACACAACAAAAGTATATGCTCTACTATGTTTATAGCAGCATTGTTTGTAATAGCCAGAACCTGGAAACAACCTAGATGCCCTTCAATTGAAGAATGGATGAAGAAAGTATGGAATATATACATATTAGAGTACTACTCAGCAGTAAAAAACAAGGACTTCTTGAAGTTTGCAGGCAAATGGATGGAAATAGAAAACACCATCCTGAGTGAGGTAAGCCAGACCCAAAAAGAGGAACATGGGATGTTCTCACTCATATTTGGTTTCTAGCCATAAATAAAGGACATTGAACCTATAATTCGGGTTCTTAGAGAAGCTAAATAAGAAGGAGAACCCAAAGAAAATCATATAGGCATCCTCCTGAATATTAAACTTCATCAGGCGATGAAAGGAGACAGAGACAGAGACCCACATTGGAGCACCGGACTGAAATCTCAAGGTCCAAATCAGGAGCAGAAGGAGAGAGAGCACAAGCAAGGAACTCAGGACCGCGAGGGGTGCACCCATACACTGAGACAATGGGGATGTTCTATCAGGAACTCACCAAGGCCAGCTGGCCTGGGTCTGAAAAAGCCTGGGTCAAAACTGGTCTCGCTGAACATAGCGGACAAGGAGGACTACTGAGACCTCAAGAACAATGGCAACGGGTTTTTGATTCTACTGGACCTATTGGTTTCGTGGGAGCCTAGGCAGTTTCTTGGATGCTCACCTTACTAGACCTGGATGGAGGTGGGTGGTCCTTGGACTTCCCACAGGGCAGAGAACCCTGATTGCTTTTTGGGCTGACGAGGGAGGGGGACTTGATTGGGGGAGGGGGAGGGGAAGGGAGGCGGCGGTGGGGAAGAGACAGAAATCTTTTTTTTTTAATGTTTTAAAGATTTATTTATTATGTATAATGTTCTGCTGGCATGCCAGAAGAGGGTATCAGATCTCATTGATGGTTGTGAGCCACCATGTGGTTGCTGGGAATTGAACTCAGGACCTCTGGAAGAGCAGCCATTGTTGCTAACCCCTGAGCCATCTCTCCAGCCCAGAAATCTTTAATAAATAAATAAATAAATAAATAAACAAATAAATAAATAAATAAATAGTTCAAGGCCAGCCAGGTCTACAAAGCCAGTGCCAGGATAGGCTCCAAAGCTATACAGAGAAACCTTGTCTCAAAAAACAAAACAACAAAAGAAAACACAAGAACTTCTGTGCCTCCTACAGCTCCAACACTAAAAACCAATCATAAAATTGTGTTTGGGCTAGAGAGGTGGCTCCGTGACTGAGAATATATGCTGCTCTTGCAGAGGGTCCAGGTTCAGCACCCACTTGGCGCTCACAAGAACCTGTAACTCAAGTTCCAGGAGATTCCACACACTCTTCTGACCTCCATGGGCTCCTGAACAGCACAGGCTACATGAAGGGTTGAGTGAAAATCTGTTGGGGGGGAGGGTGAGGCAAATTATTACAAATAAAAACGACTGTTTACATTCAACTTGGTGATACTACAAGTCCCAGCCAGAACAGTTAAACAAGAAGTAAAGGCAACTGAATAAAATGTCTAAGACTCTTGTTCGCATATGTGCAAGTTTAAGGCCAGCCTGGTCTGCACAGTGAGTTCAAGACAGATTGGGTTGCACAGAGAAACCCTGTCTTGAGCCTGGTAGTGGTGGTGCATGCCTTTAATTCCAGCACTCGGGAGGCAGAGGCAGGCGGATCTCTCGAGTTCGATGCCAGTCTGGTCTACAAGAGCAAGTTCCAGGACAGGCTCCAAAGCTACAGAGGAAACCCTGTCTCGAAAAACCAAGAAAAGAAACCCTGTCTTGGGCACAGACAAACAAAAAGCCAACAACTACATGTAAATTAGCCAAAAACCAAACCAAAACAAACAAAAACCAAAACAGCTATACATAAGTTAGCTGAACTCAATGGTGGCACACACTTGCAAGGGTAGTCGTAGGTGCACAGCAAGTGTGGACCCAGCCAGGGAGGGTTACATAGTACCGTCTCAAGAAGCCAAGCATACTGTAAAACGAAAGCTAAAAAGCCACCAGAAACGCGGGTCTTAAGAGTGATATGATCCAGATGCACTGTAGGTGCAGATTGTTTTGTTTTTTGGCTTTTCGAGACAGGGTTTATCTGTGTAGCTCTACCTGTCCTGAAACTTGCTTTGTAGGCCAGGCTGACCTCAAACTCAGAGATCCACCTGCCTCTGCCTCCCCACTGCCCAGATTAAAGGTGTGCGCCACCGCCACCCAGCTTACCTTTTATTTTCAAGGGTTTCAGTTATTTCAGGCTGGCCTCTAATTTGCTGTGTAGCTGAGGCTGGGCTTGAATTCCTACATCTATTGCTAACCACATTTTACAGGAAGGCAGGGAATGATAAAGATATCTAAGACAGGGCTGGACAGGTGGCTCATGGGCTGAGAGCAGAGGCTGCTCTTGAAGAGGACCTGGGTTCAGTTCCCAGCACATGGAGGTTCAGGGGGTCTGGTGCCCTCTTCTGCTCTCAGTGGGTGCCAGGCATGTGTACTGTGCAATGGACACATGCCGGCTAAGCACAAATATAAAAAGTAAAGAAAACCGAAAACCTTAAACTATCTCAGATGAACCAGTAAGTCTGGTCCTCTGTGGGTGGGGCAGTCTTGCTATGTAGTTTATGCTGGCCTGAAGTTATGATCGTTCTGGCTCAGCCTCCTGAGTGCTGGAATATAGGCAGACACCACTGACTGGTTAGGTCTTAGGTCTGTTTATAGAATACAATACCCTATAACAGTTTAAAACTACGAACAGACGCTAGACATCCATTTGGATAATTCTCAGTAACCTGCTGGGGAAGCAGAAAGGAAAGTGTGCAGCTTCAGTGTGTGTGAGTGCAGGCACGGACAGGAAGGAGTTAAGGGTTCCTGAGCACCTGCCTGGGGTCCAGGTTCCCTACCTTAACCCCTGCAGCAACCTGGTGAGCTAGGTCTAACTTCCAGCTGTGAGCTCTTCCTAGCTCCCACAGAGTCTGCAGGAGCCCAGGGATACTGACCCATGCGCAGGCTCCTCCAGACCTCCCACCCATCCCCACCAGTCCAAGGACTCAGGCCCGGACCATGTTGTTAGGTCTGTGCTGGACAGGCAGCCTGTAACTCCAGCCGAGCTCCCACCCCCTGCCCACAGCCTGGGGAAGCCCCAGCTCGGCCAGGCTGCCGACAATGCTTCCCATTCAGCTCTGTCCCTGCTGCCAAGCCTATGGGCAAGGGAGGGGGGGGGTAGTGCCGGCAACCAGTCGGGGATTGTCCCTGGTCTTTCCCTTGTGCAGGGCCTCCAGACAGGGCTGGCAGTTCCAGTCGGCATGGAGGGGTGAGTTTTGGGGCCCTGAGGGTGCAAGGGAGTCATAGATGACCTAGGTGGCCATAGATGATCCCGTATTCTTCTTTTGTGCCTCTGAGGAGCTGGGGGTAGGCCACAGGATCTTCCTTGTACCTGAGGTTCTCCAGAGGTGGCCCTTAAAGAAGAAAGGGGGATGTAGCCATTCTGGTGCAGTCCTGTGGCTTAGTCTTTTGGGGCCAGGTGAAGAGAGACCCATGGCAGCTGTCTATGTCCTGTACCTTTGTCTCTTCAGGAAATCAGCCTAACGGGCCCCCTTCCTACCCTATCTCAAGCCAGAGTCTAGAGAAAGCCACCAGCCCCGAGAAGGGGAGTGAATTCTGAGACTAAGGAGACAATGGCAGACAGTAACAATCCTGGGAGTAGTTATGGGGAGATGGGATGAGGTTTCAGCCCAGCATCAGGGAAGGAGCTCGGCATTCACACATGGCCCAAGTATATTGAAAGGAGGAGCTGAGAGAATTAGGTGGTGCTGGACCCGTGCAGTGGTACCCAAACCACCTGAGGTGTGTGATGGAGAACATTTACATCCTTTCTGAAACAGTGCTGAAAGTGACAGTCAGATGCTGGGAGATTTCTGTTGGTATCAGGAGCCTGTCTCTAGTCTGGAAAATTCCCTTGGCTGCTAGGTGGAGCCCAGGGCAGGACAGGAAAGCCACGGTGGCAACAACCATCTGTGAGACGGGATGGGCAGTGACTGTAGTTGTGTGGTGGAGGGGTGGAAAGGTAGGCAGACAAGGAAGATACATTTTGCCTGGTGCAGTCCAAACCCCAGGTCCTCCATTCCCCTGTATCAGGCCAGTGAACTGTGTGGTCCTCAGGTAACAAGAGGACAAAAGAGGCCTGAGCTGCCTGCTTACCATGATAGTATGTCTCTGGGTAGAAGACAGACTCACTCAGGGACTTCAGGTCCTTCAACATCTGCACCTCCCCAATGAAGTGCAGAGTCAGGTTGATTTTCTGCATCTGAGTTCCTCCTCAGTAAATCAAAGCTGATTACAAGCTGCTCCTGTGGGAGGTGAGGGAAGGGGCCCAAGCCATGGCACTTTTCTGGGCCCAGAGAATGAAGGCCTGCAGGGGTCTTAGTTGTCCTGGATCGGGTTTGGTGCCCACCAGGGTCGAGGGCCCATGAACATCAGCTCTCCCTCTCCTCCCAGGCCCCAGAGCTCCACCCCTGTCTTCATGCTGCTGCTTTCGGTGTTGCTACTGGGCCCAGCTTGGCACGTAGCTGCCCAGCGATGCCCACAGACCTGTGTCTGTGACAACTCCAGGCGGCACGTGACCTGCCGCCACCAGAACCTCACCGAGGTGCCGAACACCATCCCCGAGGTCAGGCGGGACACACTGGCATGGGTTAGCAGTGTGCTAAGACGGGTCACACTGGCACGGGTTAGCAGTTTGCTAAGACGGGTCACACTGGCACGGGTTAGCAGTGTGCTAAGACGGGCCACACTGGCATGGGTTAGGTATGGGTTAGCAGTGTGCTAAGACGGGTCACACTGGCATGGGTTAGCAGTGTGCTAAGACGGGTCACACTGGCACGGGTTAGCAGTGTGCTAAGACGGGCCACACTGGCATGGGTTTGGCATGGGTTAGCAGTGTGCTAAGACGGGTCACACTGGCACGGGTTAGCAGTGTGCTAAGACGGGTCACACTGGCACGGGTTAGCAGTGTGCTAAGATGGGTCACATTGGCACGGGTTAGCAGTGTGCTAAGACGGGTCACACTGGCATGAGTTAGCAGTGTGCTAAGACGGGTCACACTGGCATGGGTTAGCAGTGTGCTAAGATGGGTCACATTGGCACGGGTTAGCAGTGTGCTAAGACGGGCCACACTGGCATGAGTTAGCAGTGTACTAAGACGGGTCACATTGGCACGGGTTAGCAGTGTGCTAAGACGGGTCACACTGGCATGAGTTAGCAGTGTGCTAAGACGGGTCACACTGGCATGGGTTAGCAGTGTGCTAAGATGGGTCACATTGGCACGGGTTAGCAGTGTGCTAAGACGGGCCACACTGGCATGAGTTAGCAGTGTACTAAGACAGGTCACACTGGCACGGGTTAGCAGTGTGCTAAGACGGGTCACACTGGCATGGGTTAGGTATGGGTTAGCAGTGTGCTAAGACAGGTCACACTGGCATGGGTTAGGTATGGGTTAGTGTGCTAAGACGGGTCACACTGGCATGGGTTAGCAGTGTGCTAAGACGGGAAGAGTGGCAGGAGCCATGGCTCACACCAGTGGTTCTGCCACTGTCTGGTTTTTCAAGTCCCGCTCCTTGAGCCTGGGAAAAAAATGGGAAAAAAAAACAACCTGTAACAGCCAAGTCCAGTGGCTCACACCTCTAATTCCAGCACTTAGGAAGGATGGATCTCATTGAGTTCAAGACCAGCCTGGTCAACATACCAAGTTCCAGGCCAGCTAGAATCATGTCTCAAAAAACAAAACCAAACAAACCAATAATAACGATGTAATTTATTTACAATCTACGTGACTACAAATATTGCATTCGCGACAGGTTCTGGGGTGAACTGGGGGTGTGCCGGGAGAAGATACCTTTTCTGCCCTATGGAGTTATGAGTTCACGGGCGAGAAAGCCAAGAGCAGTGACAGGAATGAAGAGAGCACAGTGAGGGCGGCTCAGTGGCAAGAGAATCAGAGAGGTGAGGGGGAGAGGCCAAGGCTCAGGTTCCCGTGCAGCTCAGTGTCCTTTCCCGCTCCTGTCCCCAGCTGACCCAGAGGCTGGACCTCCAGGGCAATCTGCTGAAGGTCATCCCTCCAGCCGCCTTCCAGGACCTGCCTTACCTCACACATCTGGACCTGCGGCACTGCCAGGTGGAGCTGGTGGCCGAGGGTGCTTTCCGAGGCCTGGGCCGCCTGCTCCTCCTCAACCTGGCTTCCAACCGCTTGAGCATGCTGCCCCAGGAGGCTCTGGACGGGCTAGGCTCACTGAGGCGGCTGGAGCTGGAGGGGAACATGCTGGAGGAGCTGCGGCCGGGGACCTTCGGTGCCCTTGGCTCGCTGGTCACACTTAACTTGGCCAACAACGCCTTGGTCTACCTGCCCGCCATGGCCTTCCAGGGGCTGCTGCGCACTCGCTGGCTGCAGCTGTCCCACAATGCGCTCAGCGTGCTGGCCCCCGAGGCCCTGGCGGGTCTGCCCGCTCTGCGTCGCCTCAGCCTGCACCACAACGAGCTGCAGGCCCTGCCCGGGGCCGCCCTGTCCCAGGCCCGCAGCCTGGCGCGTCTGGAGCTGGGCCACAACCCGCTCACCTACACGGGTGAGGAGGACGGCCTGGCGCTGCCCGGCCTGCGCGAGCTGGCCCTGGACCACGGGGCCCTGCAGGCTCTGGGGCCCCGGGCCTTCGCCCACTGCCCGCGCCTGCACACCCTCGACCTCCGCGGGAACCAGCTGAGCAGCCTGCCCCCGCTGCAGGGCCCGGGCCAGCTGCGCCGGCTACGGCTGCACGGCAACCCGCTGTGGTGCGCCTGCCACGCGCGGCCCCTGCTCGAGTGGCTGGTGCGCGCCCGCGTGCGCTCGGACGGCGCGTGCCGCGGGCCGCGGAGGTTGCGAGGCGAGGCCCTGGATGCGTTGCGGCCTGCAGACCTGCGCTGCCCCGGGGACGCGGCGGAGGACGAGGACGAGGTCGAGGCCGACGCGGGTCCCCGCGCCCCTCCGCGCTCCCCGCACCAGGAGGCCCCGACGGCCACGCCCTGCCCTCCGGTCTGCGCGTGCGTCGGGGAGACGCGGCACAGCGCTTGCGACGGCCGCGGCCTGCGGGCTGTGCCCCGCGGCTTCCCCAACGACACCCAGCTCCTGGACCTGAGGCGCAACAACTTCCCCTCGGTGCCCCGTGCCGCCTTCCCGGGCCTGCGCCACCTGGTGTCGCTGCACTTGCAGCACTGCGGCATCGCGGAGCTGGAGCCCGGCGCCTTGGCGGGCCTGGAGCGCCTGGTCTACCTCTACCTCTCAGACAACCAGCTCTCGGGCCTGAGCGCCGCAGCCCTCGAAGGAGCCCCTCACCTCGCCTACCTGTACCTGGAGCACAACCGCTTCCTGAGGGTCCCGGGGGCTGCTCTGCGCGCCCTACCCAGCCTTTTCTCGCTACACCTCCAGGACAACGCGGTGGACCGCCTGGCGCCTGGGGACCTGGCAGGAGCGCGGGCTTTGCGTTGCCTTTACCTGAGTGGAAACCACATCACCCAGGTTTCACCTGGGGCGCTGGGGCCAGCTCGGGAGCTGGAGAAGCTGCATCTTGACAGGAATCAGCTGCGAGAGGTGCCCACAGGCGCCCTGGAGGGGCTGCCGGCACTCACAGAGCTGCAGCTCTCCGGGAACCCATTCAGGGCTCTGCAAGATGGGGCCTTTCAGCCTGTGGGGAGGTCGCTGCGGCAGCTCTTCCTGAACAGCAGTGGCCTGGAGCAGGTGGGTGCTGGGCGAAGGGCAGGCAGGAAGCACAGGCCATAGGAGTACATTCCTTCGGCAAGCATTTTAGGCAGGGCACGAGAACCCTAAGATAAACCAAACATTCCCCTAAACCCTTAGGGAGTTCAGGTGTGGGTGTCAGGCCAGGGGCAGCTAGAGGCCTGTCGAGGGACATGGAAGAACTGGAGTCTGCGCAGTTACTGCTGTGAAGAGTCCCTAAGAGGCATGGCAATGATAGGTTCAGGCCTAACTGACAGAAGCTGGGCATTGTGTGACTTGGAATGAGATCACGCTGGGTATTAACTGCCCTTCCCACGTGGACCCACTTGGGCCTTCCATCTCTCTGCTGGAGAGGATGGACCGTCCCTGCAGACCTGGGGCAGTCTGCCTGGCAGGGGCACACAACGGGAATTGGCATTTCTTTGCAGATTTCTCCCAGGGCCTTCTCGGGCCTGGGAACAGGGCTCCGGAACCTGTACCTGCAGAAGAACCAACTTCAGTCCCTGCCTGCGCTGCCGTGGCTCAGCGGGCTGGAGCTCATCGACCTCAGTGGCAATCCCTTCCACTGTGACTGCCAACTGCTCCCGCTCTACAGGTAGTCACCCCCACCAGAGCCCCCCGCAGCGGCATCAACTGCTGGCATGAAGTCCAGCTAGCTCCCTGGAGGTGCTGTGGCTGTGCACCACCAGTCAGCTTAGGGCGCCTGTGAGGATCCTCGAAGCCAAGCATGAAGGCATTCTTGCCAAGTCATTGCTATTCCTAAGTACCTAGGATGGTGTTAGCGTCTCTGTTGCTCTGATAAACGCTGTGACCAAAAGACAACAGGTGTGGTGGGCATAGTGGCAACAACCTTTAGTCCCAGCAGTCAAGATGCAGAAGCAGGCAGACCTTTGTGAGATGGAGGCCAGCCTGACTGATACAGGCCAGGCCAGCCAGGGCTACATAGTGAGATTCTATCTCAAAACAGTCAGGCAGCGGTGGTGCAGGCCTTCAAATCTCAGCACTTGGGAGGCAGAGGCAGGTGGATCTGAGTTGGAAGCCAGCTCAGTCTACAGAGCAAGAGGACAGGACAGCCAGAGCTAAACAGAGAAACCCTGTCTTAAAAAACCAAAAATAAGCCAGGTGTTAGTGGTGCAAGCCTTTAATTCCAGCACTCAGGAGGCAGAGGCAGGCTGATCTCTGTGAGTCTGAGGCCAGCCAGGGCTGCAGAGCGAGTTCCAGGACAGGCTCCAAAGCTACACAGAGAAACCCTGTCTCGAAAAATGAGAAAAAGCAAAACCAAAATCAAGCAAAAAACAGAAACAGCAAAACAAATCAAAAGGCAACTTAGAATGGGTTTAGCTTACAGATTATATAGTTCATCAAGGGCAGCCAGGGCAGGAGCTCAGGGCAGGAGCTGCACTGAGGCAGAGCCAGGCGGGGAGACTGCTCTGCTGGCTGGCTTGCTCACTTTGCTTTCCCATACAAGCCAGGACCAACTTCCTAGGTTGGCACGGACTACAGTGAACTGGGCCCTCCTACCTCAATTATTAATCAGGATAACGCCTCAGGCCAGTCTGGAGGAGGCAATTCCCAACCGAGGCCCCTTCTTCCTCGGTGGGTCATTTGAGTCAAGCTGAAGAGAACACAGTGACGCAGGTGGACTGAGCTTTTTTGACTCCTTCATAAAGTTGGGATCTCGTCCTCTCTTGGTGAGCTGGGACCAAAAAAAAAAAAAAAATACATATGTGTATTTGGCACGATGACATAAAAAAGCAACCAGAAGCTGGGCTGGTGACCATGGCAGTAATCCCAGCACTTGGGAAGTGGAGGCAGGAGGATCAGGAGTTTGAGATCAGCCTGGATTAAATAAAAACAAAGGCTGGGGACAGAGCCCAGTTGGTAGATTGCTTACCTAGCACGAAGCCCAGGGTTCGGTCTTTATAAATACCAGGTGTGTGCAGACATCTGCAACCCCAGCACTCAGGAGGTGGAGACTAGATCAGAAGTTGACATCCGTCTGGGCTATATGAGACCTGGTGTCCCTGTTTTATAAGTACCAGGTGTGTGCCCACATCTCTAACCCCAGCACTCAGGAGGTGGAGACCGGAAAATCAGAAGTTGACGTCCGTCTGGGCTATATGCGACCCGGTTTTTGTTGTTTTAGTAGAATAACAAGTCTGGGGTCAAGCAAGCCTAAGGGCCGGTCAGCCCAGGCTCTGATGTAATACGTTCCATAACCTCCCTTTGCTCATCTGTGAAAAGGATGAGCAGTCTAATCCACAGACTCATGGCTGCTGGAGAATTCAGTACCGTTAGCAGGTGTCAGTAGAATGTCTGGCACACAGTAAGCACTGCTACTGTTTCTGTCTTTTTATGCAGAAGGAATCAGAGGCGAGCCACCCGGTCAGAACTCTCCGTGGAGACTGTCTTTGGTGCCCTGCCTCAGAGCTCCTGACCCCTCCTCATACTCCTCGGGAAATCTCTCACCGGTGCATGCCGCCCGCAGTGAGCTCCCCATCTCTTTCCTCCTCAGGTGGCTCATTGGGCTGAACCTGCGGGTAGGGGCCACCTGTGCCACCCCTCCCAGTGTCCGTGGCCAGAAGGTGAAAGCTGCAGCTACTGTCTTTGAAGTTTGCCCAGGCTGGACTGCCAGGAAGGCCAAGAGGACGCCAAGCTCCAGGTTCAGTGCCAGGAGAAGCCCTAGCAACAGAAGACATCAGTGAACAGACAAGGTGGGCCCTTAGGTGGGAGGGAGGTCTGGGTCCCAACCTGCTGGGAAGCCCTGATTTTTCTTGGTCCTGAATTGTAGTTCCTGAACTGGGCAGTGACCCATGGTCCTGCTGCACGATGCAGCAACGCTGCTTTCCTCACTGGACACCACGTATTTACCCCAGTCCTGTTTTACTGACCTCTGCTGACTCCACCCTTTGCTATCCTGACCTCAGACCTGGCTCTGCCTCCCACCACCTGTCAGTCACAGGTTGAGGTGTCCTTGAATGTTGGGGACCATGTGAGGGGAGCAACAGGTAATGTTGGAACTCATGGAACACAGCTAGGCAGTTGGCAAAGCCACACCCGAGTGAGCCGTGGAGAGGCAAAGCCCTGAGGACTCCATGTCCTGAGGACCTACCTCATGCTGTTACAGAGCACAGCTGAGCGTCGCCTTCTGTCCACCACATCCCTGTCTATGGGCTGTAGAAAAACTCTCGGGGGTCTCTAGCCCCCCACTAGGCAGTGGTACTGGTACTTACAGTAATAGTGACTGACTTGCCCTAAGCATTGCTGCTGGGCACCTTTAGAAAGAATTTAGACATAATAGAATTGTTAATAAGATCTGGTTAAGATGTTTTTGTTTATGTTACATGTGTAATTTTTCATATATTTGTTATGCCTCAATAAAGCATTAAATGTTAAAAGAAAGATGTTTTTGCTAATACCTTTGAGATGAAAAGCTTGGGTTAGCTGGAGTTTAGAAAGGCAGAGTTGAGTGAGGGACTCGTCACTGTCAGGGAAGAACAAAGCAGCCCAGCTACTGGCTGGCGCGCCTTTCTTGTTAGGATGGGTTGGTGATCGAAGATGACCATCCCTTGTGCCCATTTGTCCTCCGCTTCCTGGTATAAAAAAACTGTTGATGAGGGGGTATGCACCCTGTGGATTTAAAGTTTTTAAAATTGTTTTTCATATATAAAACTTTAGATTTGTGATTCAAGACTTATATAGGCTTAAATAGACAATGATTGGTCCTTTCTTTGTAACCATGAAATCAGCCTGCCAGTCAAAGAACTGGCTGAGAAAAATACCTTGCTTGCTCACACTCTGCTAATCTATAACAAGCTGCTGGACATGAATGTATGCGGCTTCTTGGGGCTACTAATTTTTCACTTCTAATATGTAAAATGTTTAATCATGTCCAGGGATATGGAAAACATGGTTTTTACTTGTAGTCATTGTAATCACTCACTTAAATCTTTCTACTTCTTGATTTTGCTGGGGTATATAAGCTGTAAGGAGAAAAAATAAGAAGGGAGAAGGAAAACACTAGGAAAGATGTAGAAGGAAGTCCTCAGGAAAGAGGAAGGAAAACAGGGTAGACGAACAGAACACAGAAGACTGGAGCGGAACAAGGACAAGAAGAACAAAGCCGCTCTCAGCCCTCAGAAGTCTGTTTTTCTGGCCAAGTCTGCATCTGGTTTCCAGTCTCTGACCTGCACAAGGCTTGCCCTCTGCACTTACTGCTCTTGTAGAAAACTTGAGTTTTATTCCATTACCCATGTGGAATGGCTCACAGATGTCTGTAATCCCAGCTCCAGGGGACCTAACACCTCTGGCTTCCACCAGCATTCAGATGAGAGGGGGTGCCTGAGACAGAGGTGAGGTGGTGGTGGATGCAAGTGTGCGCACACACACAAAGGAAAGCAAGATCTCGAGCTGCAGGATACAAGTCCTTAGGAAACAGACTTGGAGCTAGTTCTGGGGGCAGCAGCAGAAGCACACAGTTGCCACTCACTGGCATCGCCTTCTCCAGCCTTTTTAGTCATCAGTACATCGGAGTCGCCTAGAACCCAGATGCCAACACTAGACATGGACGGTGACAAGCGACTATAATCTAGTCCTTGGAGGAGCAGGGGAAAATGATGGAAGGTCACATTGGGCTATATGAGATTATCTCCATAAAATCAAAATGGATCAAATAGCCCAAGAGGCCCCATACTTCCCTCAAAGCCACCATGTACTTCTTACACTTATTTGTACGTGTGTCTTGGTGTGCACAAGGTCTGAGGACAACTCGAGTCATTTTCACCTATGTGGGTTCCAGGGATCAGACTTAGGTCCTTGGCTTTGTGGCAAGTGCACTTACTCCACTGCCCTGGCCTACACCACACACCCACTCCACTGTCCTGCTGGTCTATATCACACACCCACTCCACTGTCCTGCTGGTCTATACCGCACACCCACTCCACTGTCCTGCTGGCCTACACCACACACCCACTCCACTGTCCTGCTGGTCTACACCGCACACCCACTCCACTGCCCTGCTGGTCTACACCGCACACCCACTCCACTGCCCTGCTGGTCTACACCGCACACCCACTCCACTGCCCTGGTCTACACCGCACACCCACTCCACTGCCCTGCTGGTCTATACCACACCCCTTCCAAGTGCATGCTGGCTGGAGGTGGACTCTTCAGGGTTCAAACTCCTGAGTCCAGCTCACTGTCCGTATGTCCCCTGGGCCTGATAGCCAATGGGGATTCAGTGCCTGCAGGAAGGCTGGACCACACCTGTGCTCTTGACTTGGCATGAAGCCCATCAAGCTTGGTGTGTGGTCATGAAAGGTCATTAAGGGGTGTCCCAGATATGGTGGTAACTTTGCAGACCAACCTAGGCTCATTCCTATTGTATCTATCCTGTATATTTAAGCTACCAATTTATCTCTCATTGAGCCTTCTTTTTCCCATCTGCAAATGAAGCCAGGATGCACCTCACAAGGGCACCAGCAGAAATGAGTTAGCTATTTACAACGTGTAGTCTGGCATCGAGCATAGAAGGCTCTCCTTCCCTCAAAGGGTGGAAGACTCAATCTCCAGAAAGGTTGGGAAGCAGAGGGTGGGCTCCTGAAGTGCTGAGATCTGGTCTAATGGAAAGCAAGCCTCCAGTGGATGAAGTGGGTGTCAGGAGGGAACGCCAGGATGATGCTAGCCAGCCAACTCCACCGCTCAGACTCTGAGGCCTTTAGTTCTTAACCAAGGGCAAACTGAGGCAGAAACCCCCATTTCCAAGAGGGGCTGGAGCGATGGCTCAGCACTAAGGGCACCAGCTTCTAGAGGAAGCAGGTTTGACTCTTAGAACCCACATAACTTGTATCATGCACCTTATCCTGCCAGGTGTGGTGGCACACACCTTTAATTCTAGCACTCAAGAGGCAGAGGCAGGTGGATCTCTGTTAGTTTGAGGCTAGCCTGGTCTATAAAGGAGTTCCAGGATAGCTAGGACTGTTACACAGAGAAACCCTATCTTGGGGGGCGGGGGGAAGAGACCTTGTCCAACAACTTTGGGAACTGAGGCATGGTTGAGTTTGAGGACAGCCGGAGCTATACAGCGAGACCACAGATCTAACCCGTTGGCAACTGCAACGTAAGTTATGTGCATCGCACCTCACTAACTAGGGACAGGTGAGCTCCCAGAACTACCAATGACAACACAGCTGAGGTTGCTATGGAGACAGAGGGCAGTCTATTGCTTGTCCCTTTGTGTGTTAACTGTCTCAATACTCTCTAAAGTGGCATTAAGACGAGGCCATGTAGGTTGGGACTTGTCTCATACAGGTGTGGTGCACATATCTGCAGGCCCAGCACTCAGGAGGTGAAAGGTTAGAAGTTAAGGTCAGCCTGGGCTACATAAGACCCTGTTTTTGTTGTTTTAATAGAATAACAAGAATCTGGGGGGCTGGAGAGATGGCTCAGCAGTTAAGAACACTAGCTGCTCTTCCAGAGGACCCGGGTTCAATTCCCAGCACCCACATGGCGGCTCACAACTGTCCAGTTTCAGGTGATCTGGCATAGTTACACTAATGCACATAAAATAAAGCTAAATAAATAAAGGGAAAAAAGGGCCTGGAGTCAAGCAAGCCTAAGGTCCAGTCACCTCAGGCTCTCAAGTTCCAGCAATGATCACCACAGCTCCCTCTGCTCATCCGTGAAAAGGCCAGGCCAGAGCTGGAATGAAGGCCAAGCATCCACCCTCTTGTCGGGGGGGTCTCATGCTCCTGACACATTAGAGGCACTCAGCCATCTTCCTCCCAGCATCCTCTCCTGCGCCTGATGCCCACTCACCTCATATTTCTTTTTGAAAGATTTTATTTTTAATTACACATTTATATGTACATCTACACAAATTATACATTGTACCCATGGAAACGACAGGTGCAGGTCCCCCTGGAGCTCAAGTGACAGGTGCTTATGAGTGGATACTGGGAACTGAACCTGCCTTTTGCTGTGGTCTTCCATCTACTTCCAGACCTATTTACCCTTTGAGGAAATCAGGCTGTGACAAACGCCTCTCTCACCTAGGTTCTGCACAGGGTGGGCTCTGTCAGGGCTGAGTTCTCTCCTGACCTTCCCAGTCTGTACAGACTGGCCACTCACACGCCACCTCAGGGATGAACCCAGCCTAGGTCCTGAGCAAAGCCAGGGAGCACATGTCAGGATGACGGTGCAGACTGACCAGCACAAAAGGCGGCTGTGCAACACAGCACAGCCACGACAGGACACGGAGCCACGGCCACACTGCTTCTCCAAAACACAGAGAAACAGAAACGGCCGACTGCAGGAGCCCCACTGGTTTTCCTGGATGTTCCCGGAGGGCTAGATGACTAGTTTCTAGAGTGTTTAACTGGGGCCGGGTGCACTCCTTTAACCCTAGCACTCAGGAGACAGAGGCAGGGAGATCTCTGAGTCAGAGGCCAACCTGGTCTACACAGAAAGATTCTGTCTCCAAAAACAAAAACAACAAAGCCAAAACAAACAAAACCCACAACAAAAAGTGTGCCTGGGAAAAACAAAAGCTCAAACTTGAGGTAAAGATGCGAGCTGAGCAGTGACTTGGCCGACCAAGGCAGGGAAATGGAAATGCTAGGTCCAACACCAGCCAGGCTCTCCAGAAGCAGGATCCCCAGGGCCAAGTCACTGTAGGATCCTGTACTTGGCAGCAAGTAGCCTGGCCCAAGGTCCCTACAAGTAATTGCTTAAGAAAGAAGTCAGTGTTCCTGTCAACCCTGAGGTCAAGGCCATTCACTCATTCGCTCCTGATTACCTGCCACAGCAGGGCCTCAGGGCGCTAGGCAGGGCAGGGCACCCCAGGAGGCAGAGGTCCTCAAGTTGTCTTAGGCAGAGGTGGCCTCATTCCCACCCAGAGCCTGCCAGGGCTGCCCGCTCACGGCTGCTCTGTAACATTACTTCCTCCACTTCCCTGGGTGAACACGTGGGGGCAGTCCAGTTTTCCAGTGTGCTGAGGATGCAGTGAACAGACCAGCTTAGACCTCGAGCTGCCCAGCCCACAAGCCTGGCCAGTGGGCAGAGGTGGGCCTAGAAGACCAGGCTGTCCTTTCGGTGTGCAGCAGTGAAGCCAGGCCTCCAGACTGGCACTAGGGATGGCTCAGTTGTCCCTCTCCTGCTTGATGCTCTCAATGGGGAGAGGCAGCTGTGGACTGGGTGACCGGTCAGGCGAGGAGATGTCCTGGTGCTCCTCCTTCACACACACAGCAATGACTGGGGACAGGGAGGGTAGTGGGGAGCAGACAATGAGTGTGTGAAGGTGTGACAGCCTGGGGTGGGATGACAGGCTAGTAAGGGAGCTGTTTTCCCCTGGTGTGGGGGGGAGGTGGTGCTTTGGGGCTAGCAGGGAGCCTAAGTGACCACCTCACTCTCCTCCTCACCCTCCCAGAAGCAGCAACAAGAGAAGGTCCATGACTGCAGGCATAGCCAGTGAGGTAACTCAACAGATAACAGCACTTGCAGCCAAGCCGAAAACCTGAGGTTGACCCCCGAGACCCATACGATGTGACAGAATGGACTCCTGCACACCGCCCTCTGATGACCACATGTTTGCTGTGGTCTACTTGAGCAATCCCAATGTACAGGAATAAAAGTCCAGGAGAGAAAAAAAAGGCCCCAGGCATAGCCTAGCCAGGGAGACTGCCAGAAATCTGCTCCTGCCAGCCCGCCACCTGAGTGAGCATGTGGGCAGTTAGAGGTGGGAGGACGCAGGAGCCAGGACACTGGCTGGAGAGGTTCTGTCCAGTTACATTGGTTGGGCGTTTAGGAGGCCTTCTAGTTCCAGAGATTTGGTGCCTGGAAAATCCCCTTCAAACTCAACTCTATTCTTTTGTGCCCAGGTGGAAGAGCAAAGAGGCCACATCTCAGAATGGAACAGCCTGGCCCTGCCTCAGCTCAGCCCAGCCGTTCTTACTGTCATCAGAAACAGGCTCCGATGAGACCCCCAAGGCCTGCAGGTCATCCTCCAGTAAGGGCTTCTTGGAGCCCTGTCTGACGGGACGAGTCTTGGCTGACGGGACCCTTTTCCCTGTGAATGAAAACAAAACAAACCCAGCATTGGTACTAGCAGGCAGTGGGGCACAAGGTAAATACCCCCTTTATTGGTCAGGTGCCTGCTGAGGTCAAAGATGTTGTGGCTGTTAGTTTTCTTTCTTTTTTATTTGAGAACAGGTTTCTCTGTGTACCTCTTAAACTCACTCTGTAGACCAGGTTGGCCTTGAACTAAAGAGATATACCTGCCTCAGCCTCTGAGTGCTGGGAATAAAAATGTGCACCACCACTGCCTGGCTAGGTTTCTGACGTTTGATTTGATTGTAACAACGGCACAATCAGGTCCCACTTTGAACAGCACAGTCTCTATCCAGAGGTCACTCCTGCCTAGCGACCTAGGCCCTGCTTTGGCTTTGTCTCCCTCTGCCTGGTGGCCATGTGTGGAACCACCTTTTACAGTCCACAGTAGAAGATGGCTTTGTCACCTGTCCTTCTGTCCCCTCCTCTTGCAGCCCCATGATCTACTAAGGGCGGGTCCCTCTGGACAGCTAGATGGAGTCTGCCCCACCTAGCTGCTCCAGGAGGGCATGAGGAAAGAGAGCCTTGGACACAGGGCTCCTTTCTTTCGCTGTCTTTCTTCACAACCCAGTGACAGGTACTTCGGACAAGCAGCAGCAGGGATAGGACCCCCCCCCCCCCCAGCTTTCCCCGCTCCAATCTCCTTTTTCCTCAGTACACACCCCATTCCTGAATGTGTTCTGATCCCCTAAGGCACAGGGTACCCTGGGGCAAGTTCCAGAAAGAGGAACGGTGAGACCGCCATAGAGAGACCTATGCATGGCAACACCCAGAAGCCAGCGCTGGCCTTTTGGGACTTCACTTACTTTTCTTCCCAAATTGCTTCTTTTTCTTCTTTGTGGCCTCTTTGCCCTTCAGAGGTGTGTTTGGTTCTAATGTTTGAAAGAACAAAAGAGATGAGTTCTGGAAGGGTACAGGAAACCTAAAAGACCCTTGGCCCTCATATATGGGGAACTCCAAATAGAGAAGCCAGAGTTGGACACTAAGAGCAGGATGGGGAGGGGTTGGAGAACAATTACCCCACCCACCTCTTGTCACCAGAGCTGCTCAAGGAGTCTGGGTGCACGAGGACCCAGGCCTAGGGCAAAGTAAGCTGAAGAAAGGTGTTCTACAGGGCAGAGGAGAGGGAGACAAAGGTGGGAGGGGGCACGAAAGGCAGAGCACACACTTTGCTTAGAGCAGTGGTTCTGAGCCTGAGGGTCGTGACCCCTATGGGTGTTGAATGGCCCTTTCATAGGGGTCGCCTAAGATCATGGAAAATAATGTTTACATTACAATTTATAATGGTAGCAAAATTGGAGTTATGATGTAACAGAAATAATTTTATGCTAGGGGATCATCACTACATGAGGAACTGAATTAAAGGGTTGCAGCATTAGGAAAGTTGAGAAGCAGTGGCCTAAGGAAACCTGGGGACTTCTCAGTCTCATGCCAGAGAACTATGCTGGGCATGGGGAGGAGCAGCTGGCAGCAAAGAAAAAGACAGGTGCAGAAAATCCAGGAGTTGTCAGCGCTGCCCCCCGCACCTGACCTGCAGACACCGGAGGCTGGAGCTGGTAGCCGGTGAGCTCACACCAGCCCACAGGGTAGATGTCCGGGGATTCGCAGTCTACCCACTGGTCGTACTCGTTGTCCCAGCCATCAAAGTGAATGCTAAGGAGCCGATGCACCACCCGCTTCACAGTGGCCACACAGATGAGCCGGGGCTCCATCAAGTCCACAGCCTCTAGCTTCATGCCCACCTTGAAGCCATGGTTGGGGCAGTCCTGGTTAGGGGAAGAAGGCAGTTGACCAGCTGGCCAGTGCTAGGCCTGAGTGGGGTCACCCGGATAGGCAAGGAGCTGCTGACAGAACTAGGAGTGGGGAGAGGGGCCACTGTAGCAGGTTCCTTCAGACAGCAACCCCACTGAACTCTTTCTCAAGTGCCAACCCCTCTGACGAGAAGGGCCTGGTCCACACTGGCCAGAGCGTTCATGTCACAGACTTTTCTAGAAGTGGCTGATCCCAGCAGTAAAGACTTGAAAAGATGGGGTTGAAATTGATGTCGGTGAGCAGAGCCAGTCGCCAGGCTGCCACAGACTCCCAACCCAGTGCTGTGTCTCCTCACCATGTTAAAGAGTCTTGCAGGGGCTGCCTTTGACTTGGTCTTCTCCAAGTAGGTGTCCCAGTCAAACGGTCGGGTCTCATACCCTGGAGGGCAGAACATTTAGATGAAGAGAGGAAAGCAGGGGCAGAGCAGTACACAGTGCGAGTCACTGCAGCTGCCCTCCTCCCCAGGACGGCACCTGCTCCAGGAAGTCGTGCTGCACAGGTCAGGTGCTGCCTTAGGACACACGGGAGCTCTGCTCACCAGCCACACATCAGCTATGGGGCAGGTCAGCCAGGCAGAGGAAAGGAAGGCAGCAGTGGCAGGAGATGCCCACACCTCTCTCACACCACAGAGCCTCACGTCAGCTATGGGGCTGGACTTGTGGCTTCACCCTGCAAGGCCTTACCTTTTGGGGGTGTGAGCTCAATGTCATTCTTTTGGCAGAAGGTGGCTGGGAAGATGGCATGGGAGGAGGCATGGTAGCAGAACCAGTCTGAGCCATCTGTGGAGGGCCCCCCATCCACACAGATCATCAGGTAACCATCCAAGAGGACCTAGAGGAGGAGCCAGCAAGATGACTCAACAGGTCAGAAACACTTCTATCTGGCATGACTCAAGAAGCCACACAGTGGAAGGACAAACCAACAAATTGTCTTTTGACTTCCATGCATGTGCACATAAAATAAATGTAATTAAAAACAAGCCCTTGGGGTGAGCGTAGAGAAATAAACAGCAGACCGCAGGACACTCCCCACCCCAGTAAGGTAGCTATGACTGAACATGGAGGTGGATCCAACTGGATGGATGGAATCTGTCCCCCACTAAAATGCCCCAAGGTGTGTGGTGGAGCACCCAGCGCTGAGGAATGTGCGATAAGGCATCCTCTCCACTGGATGGCCACCCCATGCAGCCACGACTGCACCTGCCTTGCTGCCACTGGGCTCACAGCACGTTTAGGGAGCACAGGGCTAGGAGGCACAGAGCAGGCTGGTATCCTCAGGCTGCAGCAATGAGGCAGGCAGGAGCAAGGAGTTGGGCCGAGGCTTTGGGTGTGCAGAGGAGATGCAAGTGGCAGGGGACAGCCTGTACCCGACATTGGGCAAGGCTCAGATGTTGAGTGCCTCAAGCCCTAACATGCAGGTAGGTTCTGAGTCCCCAGAGCCTAACTGCAGGGTACAGACAGCCATGCTGGAGGTCAAAGAGTGGCCTAGGCTCACCTTGCAGATGGTTGCTACACAGATGTTGCCCAGATTCAGAGGGTCAATGGCTTCTAGTTTCATTCCTTCCTCAAACCAGACACCTTCTGTGTAGACAGCTCGGACCTTAAGGGAACGGGGCAATTGAGGATTCCGGGGAAGAAAGAGGAACAGAGGGCAAGGGACAGTGTGGTGGTGCCCACCTATAATCCCAGAATTTAGGAGGCTGTGACAAGCCGGCTTGGGTTACAGCGAGACCCTGCCTTAGTCTACTCCCTAGCAAGTTTGTTAAGGACTATGGAACAGCTTTTACAAAAAAGGCAAGGGACAGTCAAGCGCCTGCAGCCCGGGAAGGAAGTGCCCACAGGCCGCACCTTACCTTCTTGAAGAGGTAAGGAACAGCGTCACAGTAGATTTTCCGGAAGGTGGGGTGATGGGACATGTCACATCGTTTCTCTTGGGGAGGTGACAGAGAGGAGAGGAAGAAAAGGGAGTTGAAGGCAGCCACTGGTTGTCACATACTTCCCCAGAATTATGGGGCCAGGCAGACTAATTTGTTCTCAGCTGTGCCCCAGCTCCCCACCCTACATAGAGGAGACAAGTCTAGCCGAGAGGAGCCCAGAGCAGGCTTGTGGCCTATTCAGCACGGGGGAGCTAGGCTTTTCTATGCTGGCACTGTGACACTATTCAGATTGGGCTGAGTGACCTGAGCCAAGTCACTGGGTCTTTTTGACCCTCAGCACTGTCCCTCGCAGGGCAGTGATGGCAGTCCACCTCACTACACTACTGTGAGGTACAGCAAAGGTCCTACCGATCTTTAGAGAGGCTGTGCCCAGAGTCACACCAGCCAGGGGCTCTACTAACCTGACATCTTGATGCCATGGCCAACACGCCGGGACCAACCCACTGGGTGAATCAGGGGACTCCACATATGGCACCAGAAGTCGTCATCACTGTCACCATCCTCATAGAGAAGCCTAAGGCGACCCCCAATGACTGTGTCTACCACAGCCATGCGGGTCCGTGACACCTGGGTCTTGTCCACCACCTCTAGGCGCATGCCCTGCCGAAAGGGGTACTTCATGCTTTCCACCATCTGCAAGGACAAGGGAAGGCCACCTGCTTCAGTCACCCAGTCCTTACACTCCTGCTCTGCCAGCAAAAGGTAAGCGTGGTGGCACACATCCTCAATCCCAGAACTCAGGAGGCAGAGGCGGGTAGATCTCTGAGTTCAAGACCAGCCTGGTCTACAGACTAAGTTTCAGGACAATGAGGGCTACACAGAGAAACCTTGTCTCAAAAAACCAAAGTGATCCAAGCAAAAGGCCATCAAAGGAGGGACTGGAGAGATGACTCAGAAGTTAAGAACACTTGCTCTTCCTGAGGACCCACATTTGGTTCCCAGGACTGATATGACAGCTCACAACCTATTATAACTCTCGTTCCTAGAGACCCATTGCCCTCTTCTGGCCTTCAAGGGTTCTGCACGCACCCAGCACATATACATGAAGGTATAACATCCATACACATAAAAATAATTGAATCTGTTTTTTAGAGGACAGGGAAGGGCAGTGGGATCTCAGACACTGCGCCCTCTGTCTTGCCTGGGTCCCAGTCCCTCAGAAGAGCAGAGGGCAGACCTTCAGTTCTCAGTGGGTGCCCATTTCTCACCAGATTTCAGTTAGTCAGGATGGTGGGAATCCCAGAGTCTACTTCAGACCAAGGAAACTCAAATGACCTAGAAAAGTATAGGCAGACTCAGTTCTAGTGTCCACTGGGCCTTTCACGGCTCTGCACTGATCCCTGGGCACCTCACACTCCCTGCTGCCTCCTGGTCCTCTGTGAATGGCACATGCCAGATTTATGTCTGACAGGTATAGTAGCTGTAATTCTAGCACACACGAGGATCATAGTGAGATCATACTCCACATAGTCTAGGTTGGTCTAAAAAAAAATGCTGGGCTGTAATGTACACCTTTAATTCTAACAGTCAGGAGGCTGAGACAGGAGGGTTTCTGAGTTCAAGGCCAGCCTGGTTTACAGAGTAAGTTCCAGGACAATCAGGGCTACTCAGAGAAACCCTGTCATGGAAACAAACAAAAGACCAGTTGCCTTTTATGTCTGTAGAAAACAGCAGAAACAAACATTTGGAAGGACCCAGGCACAGCTTTCCACCTACACCCAGAGCCTCCTCTGTAATGGCCCTAATTTCCACTCCACCTTTATGTTTCGGAGTTGGGTTCCACATCATCTCTGCCCATGTAGGTACAATTCAAAAGCCATAGCCTCTAGGAAGCCTGTTTGATACCTGCTCCTCTGAGAACACAAGGCCAGGTCAAGTGAGAGCCCTGGCAGCAAGTGTTGCACATTTCCTGTATCCTGCTGGGACGCCTTTCCCACCTCCTGAGGACACCCTGAAAGCCTGGCTTCGCTCAGGAGCCCGCAGGAGGCCCCAGTGAGAGGTCTACTGAGGTGGGAGAGACATGTTCTGTAGAGTTTGGGATCCTTCTGAACAATTTCTATGTACACAGACCTTTGTAAGGTAAAGGCTTAAGTAGTTTTCTAAGGTTTTGTTGTTTTTTTGAAACAGATTTCACTGTATAGTCCTGGCTTGCTTAGAACCTACTATGTAGATCATGCTGGCCTCAAATTCACAGAGATTCATCTTCCTCTACCTTTCAAGTGCTGGAGTTAAAGGTATGTCCCACCATGTTCAGCCAAAGAAGCCTTCTAAACTGAAACGATACTCCACACAGATGGGTGCACAGCCCCAGCTCAGACGGTGCCGATCGCATCGTTCTTAGTGTGCATGACTCGTACTTCTCTCCCTAGGCGGAGAGTTTAGGCACTATACACACACACACTCTGTATTCCCACAGTGCTTTGTTTTTTATAGTTTATTTTTATTTTATGTACATTGGTGTATTGCCTGCATGTATGACTGTATGAGGGTGCCAGATCCCTTGGAACTGGAGTTGGTCAGCCACCAGAGACAGTTCTGGGGTGAAGACTGCCAAACCTGTAGTCACAGAAGAGTACTGCAACGCATAGTGCTTGTATATGGAAAGCCCCAGGTCCTACCCCCAGAACTGCAAAATCAAAATAAAACCCCTGAAATGAATCATATGAAGGATGGAGAAAAGTGGGAGAGGGAGGGAGGAGGGGGATAGCTGGGAACACAGCCAGACCTTGATGTGAAAATCTGCAGGAAGCGTCCTGGAGCCCACCAACCGCTTCATGAGGTAGCTCTTCCAGTCAGTGAACTTGACATGGATGGCTGCGGAGACACCAGCACAGGCCGGTAACATAGACCGACAGCACCTTCATAACCCAGAGAGCAGCTGGAGGGGGGGACTACTCAGTTCTGCCGCTTCATCTCATAAAACCAGCCTCAAGGGGCTGGAGAGATGGTTCACGGTTAACACTACCGCCTGCTCTTTCAGAGGACACATAGTAATTCACAACCACTTCTAACCCCCAGTTCCAAAAGATCAGCATTCCTTCCAGCTTTCTCAGGCTCTTATACACACCTGGTGAACAACAGACATTCACTCCGGCATAAACACAAATTAATGTGTGTGTGTATGCATATTTTAAAAATGTATACACACACACACACATGCATATATATATGTTCTATAAATCCAAATGGCCCAGAGATTTCTAGGCTGTAGGGAAGGCACAAGGGGGACATTTTGTTCTTGAGTTTCCCTTCCACCCGGAGCCCTACGGAACTGGCATGGGGAAGAATTGGCATGGGGAGCTTCCTCATTCACTCACTCCGTGGAGGCACCAGGATCTTGCTGTTGATGGCACACCACCCGATGGGGTGGACATCCACAGTCCCAAGGTTGCACCAGAAGTCATGACTGGCATCATTTTCAAAGCCTTCATACCGAAGCAGCACTCGGTACCCTGAAAGGAAGGACAAGGGGACCTGTGAGGAAGAAGGAGATGGGGAAGGCATGTTCTCAAGCTTTCATTCTTCTGTAGCCCCAGGCAGATTTCCTACTTCCTAAGCTGGGAAATGTCCCAGATATGCGGGGTCTCTGATCTACAGAACAAAGCAAAACCCATGCCATATATTAAGGAAGCATTCTGGTCTGGTGACCTCTTCTACACCTCCATTGTCCCCAGAATAAACCTTTAAAAAAATCAAATAAGGGGCTGGAGAGATGGCTCAGTGGTTAAGAGCACTGCTGCTCTTCCAGAGGCCCTGGGTTCAAGTCCCAGCACCCACATGGCAGCTCACAACTGTCTAACTCCAATTCCAGGGGATCTGTTGCCCTCATACATACCCACAGGTAAAACACCAATGTGCATAAAATAAATAAATAAATCATTAAAAAAAAATCAAAATGAAACAAAGTTTTTGAGTTTGCCCAGTTCTGTGTTTTCATCTAAGGGCGAATCTCTAAGGAGAAAGCAGCCAGTGGGTAAGGTTTTGATTTATGAAACCCATTTCACCCTATGACACTACCCACCCACGAGATATGTCACTCTGAAGACAAACTCCAGACCCTGCCCTGACCAGAGGAATACCCACCAGCCGCCTGGATGACAGAGGCGATCCAGTACACCCGGCTGGGGAGCACAGCATCGCTGTTGAGGACTTCCACCTTCATCCCCTTCATGACATCTTCCCACTGGTCATAGAGGGGCACCTGTGGTGATGAGAGCGTTGAAGGCTGGGAGGAGCCGCAGGCCTGAGCCGTGCTGTCCTCAGCACCTAACGTCACACACCATGCACTCTGCAGAAAACCAGGAATCAAGAGCGAAATAAGGCCTGCCCACTCACTGGCCAGGAGTGTGGGATGGCAGTGTGCCATCAGTGGACATCAGCCATGGGTGGAGGGTCAGAGGCACAGACCTGGATTCTCAGCATTCCAGGGTCAGCTCCAACTCCCAGTGTGGACCCCTGCCAGTTGTACAGCAGTGTCATAGCACAGAGACTACCTCAGTTTACACAGAGCGGGCAGAGCACATGCGCTCACCCCAGCCCTTCCCCACTGGGCAGTCTGGTACCTCCCCCACAGCCTAACCCCGATCTGCTGCCGGAGTCTTTCACTATCAGACCCAGCCTAAGCTGCTCAGGTAACAATCCATCTCCCAAGGCAGACAGGCTCACAGAGGCCTGGGCAGCACAGTGGCCAGGCACACAGCAAAGCTCCTTATAGAGCATCCTTTATCTTGTGTTAAATATGACCTAATTGTGGTGGCACACGCCTTTAATCCCAGCACTCTGGAAGCAGAGGCAGGCAGAACTCTGGGAGGTCAAGGCCAGCCTGGTCTACAGAGTGAGTTCCAGGACAGGCTCCAAAAGCTAAAAGCTAAATCAAAACAAAACAAAAGACCTAATTTCCCTACAATAAAAATGGGGAGGAGGCCTGTTGGAGAGATGGCTCAGATGGTACTGGTTGCTCTTCAAGAGGTCCTGAATTCAATTCCCAGCAACTACATGGTGGCTCACAACTATCTGCATAGAGATCTGGCGCCCTCTTCTGGCATGCTGGCATACATGCAGCCAGAACACTAAATTGAAAAAAAAAAATGTGGGGACTAGGAGAATTTGGGGGTAAAAGAGAACGTTTTCTTACCCTGCAGGAAAGATACATACTCACTAACAACTCAGAGAAAGACATAGTAGGACATAAGACTGCTCTCAGGCCAGCCTGAGACCCTTTGAGACACTGTCTTAAATTAAAACAAGACAAGCCAGGTAGAGGTGGTGCACGCCTTTAATTCCAGCACTTGGTAGGCAGAGGCAGGTAGTTCTCTGCGAGTCCAAGGCCAGCCTGGTCTACAAAGCGAGTTCTGGGACAGCCAGAGCTGTTGTACAGAGAAACCCCCGTCTTGAAAAGCCACCTCTCCTCAAATGACAAAAGACCTGGTGTTACTCCAGGCCAGCACAAGAACAGCTGCTGAGTGCTATTAAGTTCTTGGCCTCAAGTTCATTCAAATCACTCAAATCCTTTGTTCTCCAGGAAGAACTGAAGGGAGTCCCCCACTGGAGTGTGTCTGGTATTAGAAAGGTCCTTAGACAAGCCTGAGGGTGCAGCTTGGTGACATAAAGAGCATGCAATTCCTAAGGGCAGGGGAAAGAAAGAAGGGCCCAGAGTCAACTGGCAGGAGGCTGGGCACCGTGGCACACGCTTGTGATTCCAGCACATGGGAGGTTGAGGTAGGAGGATCCAAGTTCAAGGCTATCCTCAGCTATATAGGAAGTTAGAGACCAGCTTGGGATATATAAAACCCTGCCAGGAAGAAAAAAACCAACTAAAAACAAACAAATGAGGGCTGGAGAAATAACTTATTGATTAAGAGCACTTGTTGGTCTTGCAGAGGACCAGGGTTTGTTTCCCAGAACTCACATGGCATTTCACGGTCATCCAGAGAACTCCACTTCTGGAAGATCTGATACCCGCTCCCCCTTTTTTGTTTTTGTTGTTTTTTGTTTGTTTCTCAAGATAGGGTTTATCTATGTAACCCTGGCTGTCTTGGGACTCACTCTGTAGTCCATGCTGGCCTCGAACTCATAGAGATCCACCTGCTTCTGCCTCCCGAGTGCTGGGATTAAAGACGTGTACCACCACACCTAGCATATATTGTATAAGCATACTGGTGCTTTATTTGCACCCCAGAAGAGGGCACAGGATCCCATGGGAATACAATTACAGATGGTTGTGACTTGCCATGTGGGTGCTAGGGATTGAACTCAGGGCTCCTGGAAGAACAGCTAGTGCTCTTAACCACTGAACTAACTCTCCAGCCCTGCAAGACAAAGGAGGATTTCTGGGGAATGGCCACTGTTCTCAGAGATGCTGTCCAGCCTGGAGCAGCTCAACTGCAGTGTGTGGGAAGCAATGAGGCAGGCAGCCTGAGATGTCCCCTGGCTATCCCTGGTTGTTCCTCCTTCATTGCCAGGGAACTTACATGTTTAAAGCAGCTGACAGGAGCGGCCTTGTAACTGTGGTCCTTCAGGAACTTTCCCCAGTCGAACCCTAAGACCAGAGCTGCAGAGCACAAGGAAGAGTTAAGTAGGTTATGTACAGGAGCCGAGTTAGAACATGAACCTGGAGGCCCCACTGGGCTCTAGCAACAAGTCCCTTTATCACCACCAATGGCCATCAGGACTGTGGAGCAGAGGGGCATCAAAGAGAAACTTCTCTCCCTTCATGCCCCACAGAAAGGGCGATTAAATTCCTCCTCCTGCACCCGGTCATTGGCACACCTAATTGGCAAGGGTAGGAAGAGTGGCACATGGCTCACCTGGCTGCGCAGTGCTGTTGTGAGAATTAAAATTAAACTAAGCTAAGATCACCCACCTCATGTCCTCTCCATGGTCCTAAGTTCCCGGAATGGGTTGATCTCCCACCCTGGGTATAACACTTAACACATGCCTCGACCACGCCTGACGTATTTTTAACATCATTAGCTACCTCTCAATGCTGTACTATGCTGCTCACCACAACCAATCAGGTTAAATGTCAACCGCCCTATGACCTTCCGAGTAATGCCAAGGCTTGTGACACTTGCTTGTGGTTTTCCCTTTATAAATCCTACTCCATGAATGATCAGGGCCGCTCTCAGTCACCTGAGTGCTGAGTAGCTGCCCAGGTTCAAACCTGCATCAATAAAGACCCTATTGTGTTTACACTGGATTCTGGCTCCTGGTGGTTGATTGGGGGGGGGGGGGGGTTTCTCATGACTTGGGGATAACACTTCAGCCTCTTTGAGGTTTTCTTTGTGTAATTTGCTCATTAATCACCATGCTTGGAAAACTGACAGGCCCCTTCCACCTGCTCCACACACCCTAGACCTCTCCTGTACCAGGAAGACAGAAGCCATGGAGACAGAAGCAAAGAGAAACGAGGCTGCTAACTCTGGTTTCAGGGTTATCACAGACCCAGGTAACTGAGGGCCACCAAGAACTGCCTAGGGTCATTTCCTCAACATCCAGCAGGTGGAGACAGTTCGTGGTGGGCAAGGACCCCCAACTTCCAGCAGGTCACCTTTTCCAGTCCATCTTCCTAGGCAAGGCCACTCCCGACCCGGGTCCCCATCCCAGGATTCTGTCTTACCGTCTTGTCCTGTGGGTGTCCCATCTGCTAGTTGTCCTGTCCCCTGGGCGTGGAGGAAGGCTCCAATTTTGGCAGACCAGGCTGCCTTGTGTAGCACTTTGGCTTTCTTGGTGGGTGGCTTTCCCTGGAGGGCAAGAAGAGAAACAGACAGGCTGACAGATATGAGTTGGGATCTGTTTCTATTTTGATTTTTTTTTTTTTGAGATATGTAGGCCTGGAATTTGTAGCTCTTGTGCCTCTGTCCCCTGATTGCTGGGATTCCAGGCCACCACACCAAGTAAGAAAGAAGAGCTTGCTTGGGACTGCTCAGGCCGAGCTCATGGTCTTGGTCCAGCTAATTAACTTTCTCTGGGCTTGAGTTTCTTTTGTAAAACTGATGATGAGCTGGGAGGTGGTGGCAGGCGGATCTCTGTGAGTTTGAGGCCAGCCTGGTGTACACAGAGAGTTCCAGGACTGCCAGGGATACATACACAGAAAATACAAAAACAAAACAAAACTGATGATGAGAGAGAACACCCAGGGGAGGGTTACAGAAGGCTGGGGTCATCCTTTGACTTCTCCAGCCTCTTCCTAACATTTCCCCTGCAGAGCTCCTTGGAGAGCTACTACTGAGTGACTGCGGCGGGGCCAGAAACTCTCCAAACCCACAGGTAACCTCTGTTCATATGTAACGGCCTGAAGAGTCTACTCCAGAGCATGCTGGGGAGCTTTCATTAGGGCTCAGGGAAAGCTCACTTACACAGGATAACTAAGCAACATGACAAAGGCCGGGAGTCCATTCAACACACAGCTAAGCAGAAGCACACATGCACTGAGCAGTTCTCAACCCTTCTGCGGGAAGGGAGCGCCAAACAACTCTGTCACACGGGTCACATATCAGATATCCTGCATATCAGACATTTACATTATGATTCATAACAGTAGCAAAATTACAGTTATAAAGTAGCAATAAAAATAATTTTATGGTTGGGGGGGTCACCACAACATGAAGAACTGTCTGGGCCGTGGTGGCACATACCTTTAATACCAGCACTTGGGAGACAAAGGCAGGCAGATCTCTGTGAGTTCTAAGCCAGTCTGGTCTACAGAGCTAGTTCCAGGACAGTCAGGGATACACAGAGAAACCCTGTCTCAACACCCCAACCCTCCCAAAAAAATGCTGGGTGGTGGTGGCGGCGGCGCACGCCTTTAATCCTAGCATTCTCTGTGAATTTGAGGCCAGCCTGGTCTACAAGAACGTTCCAAGACACTCCCCAAAGCTAGAGAAACCCTGTCTTGAAAAGCTAAAAACAAAAACAGAACAAAACCAAAACCAAAAAACTCAGGAAGAACTGTATTAAACTGCAGCATTAGGAGGGTTGAGAACCATTACCTTAAAGTTTTTGAGCCTTTTAAAATAGGAATTACTGGGCATGGTAGGGCATGCCTTTAATCCAAGCAACAGGGAGGCAGGTGAGAAAAAGGTAGGCAGATCTTTGTGAGTTTGAGATCAGCCTGGTCTACATAGTGAGTTTTAGTTCAGCCTGTCTCAAAAATAAAATAAAGGAGCCAAGTGTGGTGGTGCATGCCTTTAATTCCAGCACTCTGGAGGCAAAGTCAGACAAATTTCTGTGAGTTCAAGATCAGCCTGGTCTACAAAACTAGTTCCAAAGCAGCTAGGGCCATTACACAGAGAAGCCCTGTCTCAAAAACAAAAACAAAAAAACCCAAACAAACAAAATTAAATTAAATAGGGGTCTGGTAAGATGGCTCACTGGTTAAGAGGACCCAGGTTTAGTCCCTAGCATCTACTTGGCTCACAACTGCCTCCACTGCCTCAAAGTCTTGAGGTCCCAGGGTACCTGACACCCTGACACTTTTGATCTTAAAAAAAAAAAAAAAAAAAAAGAATAAAGAAAAGAAAGGAGTGGGTGGCACTTTCTGAGGCAAGGTCTCATGTACTTCGAGTGACCACTAGAGATGAGTTCCCCAAACTGACTATGTGTCTGCCTCCAATCACATGATGGCTCAGCTCAGCATCTAGGACCCCAAGATGGACATGAGTGGCTGCTCTCACCTGCAGTCTGGCCAAGATACTGGCTTTCTTGGAGTTGGAGGAGTAGCTCCTGGAACACGAGACACTGCAGAACCTCTTGGTCTTTGAGAAGAAAGCGTCTCTTGTGCCCACGATACCACACATCTCACAGACCGCTAGAAAGAGAAGCCGGCACATGACTCCAGACGTAAGTACTTCAAGTCAGACCAACCCATGGGTTCCTCAGAGTCCAGAGCACTGTGTCAGCCACATGAGTGACAGGGGGAGGACAGTGCCTGTCTTCTGTCAGGAGCGAGTCTTGCAACATGCTGCCTCTGCTGTCAGCCCCTCCAGCAGCTGCCCCTCCATCTATCCACCTAAGATGGCAGGCGATTCCTCCTGGGCCTGTAGCAAGAGCCAGTGCTAAGGGTCTGAAAACCCACACGAACACCTGCCGAACCTGGTGACAAGTTTTAGAGAGAGGACAGGGACAAGAGAGAGGTGCTGAAGTCACTTAGTATTTGTAGCTCTGTGTTCTCAGGGACAAGTGGACAAGCTGTGTTTCCCTTGACTTCACCGTAGGTCAAACGGTGCTGTGGCCTGGGCCCCAGTGACATGGGCATCTGAAGTGCTTAACCAGCTTCCCAGAGGACCAGGGAACCAGCCCCTGGCCCAGTGGCTCTCCCTAGTGATTCCTGCTAGGATTGAAATGCTCAGATTTTGAGAAGGGCGAAAGATGAAGAAATGGGGGGAGAAGTCAAGATGGTTGGAAGGAAACCGGACCCCACTGCCCAGGAGCGCAAGCATGAAGAAACAGGAGGGGCCGTCTGCAGATGGGAGCCTGCCTCTTTCTCAGGACACACTGCTCACACTCTGGGAGTCCTGACACAGGGACTGGCAACCATCAAGATCCACCTCTTCGAAGTCAACTGGCTTTCAAATGATCTTTGACCACTCCCTTCTGCCCACCTCCACGTCTGTCTGTCTGTCTGTCCTGACCTGAAGGTCACTATCCTGTACGTCTCCCTACAATGTGTTAACTTGTAGTCCATAAGCTGTTTGCAGGGCTGGAGAGATGCCTCAGAAGCTCAGAGCACCGGCTGCTCTTCCTGAGGTACTGAGTTCAATTCCCAGCCACCACATGGTGGCTCACAACCATCTATAATGAGATCTGATGCCCACTTTTGGCCTGCAGGTGTACATGGAGGCAGAACCCTGCATACCCCTGCATACGTACTATATTTAAAAAAAGCTATGTGCTTGCCACTCTATGGGTCTCACCGCCTTCACACCCAGACCCAGACTACCCAGGCGACTACACTAGGGCAATGGCACCTACCAAGTGCTGAATGGACACAAGAGACACGAGGTGTCAGAGAATTAGACTAACTAGACTGCAGGACAGGGAATGGTCCTCGAGGACAGTCCCTTAGATATCTGCATGGCTCTGCCCACATCGCATGTGTTCGCCCACAAGCTCCCGACTCCCCTCCATCTTTAAGGGCACCGTGAAGAAGTCACCTGGCTCAGAACCACTTCCATCCAGGGAGCGGGTGTTCCCAGGGCTGAGCAAATGCAGAGGTGAGGTGGGAAGCTCCCCGGCTTCCCGGTCTTCATTCTCCGCCTCACTCGACTCCTCCAGATAGGAGCTGCTCTCACTGCCTGCGCTGCTGTTGTAACTTCGGAAGCTGTCGTAGCCCCCGAAGAGGTCCAAGTCATCCTCCTCCTCTTCTTCCATTGGCTCTGAAGACGGCGTCTCCTAGAGGAAGATGGACATGTGCTTGGCCTGAGAAGAGAATCTGCAGACCTGCTAATCCACCTTGTGTGGGCTGGGAATTTGAACTTTGGTCTTCTTTTTTTATTTTTTTTTTTTTTTTGGTTTTTTGAGACAGGGTTTCTCTGTAGCTTTGGTGCCTGTCCCAGAACTAGCTCTGTAGACCAGGCTGGCCTCGAACTCTCAGAGATCCGCCTGCCTCTGCCTTCCGAGTGATGGGATTAAAAACTTTGGTCTTCTGAAAGAGCAGTAAGAGCTTTTAACTGCTGAGCCATCTCTTCAGCTCCCTACATGGGCAAAACAGAATACGGATGGGGGCACTGGAGAGATGGGTCAGCAGTTCAGAGCACTGGCTGTTCTTCCAGGTGTCCTGAGTTCAATTCCCAGCACCCACCCGGTAGCTCACAGCCATATGTAGTGAGATTTGGTGCCTTCTTCTGACCTGTAGGCAGACATACAGACAGAACACTGTACACTGTAAAATTTATTTACTTAATAAATCTTAAAGAAGTCAGGTGTGGTGGCATGGGCCTCTTAATCTCAGTACTCAGGAGGCAGAGGCAGGTGGATCTCATAGACTTCGAGGCCAGCCTGGTCTACAGACCGAATTCCAGGATAGGCTCCAAAGATACACAGACAAACCCTGTCTCGAAAAGAAAAGAAAGAAGGGAAAAGATGACACCTAACCTACCTTAGCATAGCTAACTGCAAGCTGTGGTTTGTGTATGCCTCTGCCCACCACGACCTCTCATATGGGGAGCTTGGGCACAGAGCAAACTTCATAGAACAATGTCCACTGAATCAATATTGTTCTCATACCACTATAAAGTCAAAAAATTATGCCAGGGATCAGAGCTCTATATAATAATACCGTGGGGAGAGGACTGGAGAGATGGCTCAGTGGTTAAGAGCACTGGCGGCTCTTCCAGGAGACTCAGTTCAATTCCAGCAACCATATGACAGCTTACAACTGTCTGTAACTCCAGTTCCAGGGAACCCGACACCCTCACACAGACATGCATGTAGGCAAAACACCAATGCACATAAAATAAATGATAAATCTTAAAAACCACAACAGTAATTCATTATTTAAATTAACTTGAATCAGGAGGACTTTAAATTAAAAAAAAGAAAAAGTGGAACTATACCAAACACCTCAAAGGAACTTCCTGGGCAGACAGCATTTGAAACCCATTCTCCCTGTTCAGTATATGCACACCCAAATGGAGCCCTGGCTGTGCAGGAACTTACACAGTACACCAGACTGGCCTTGAACTGACAGATTTACCTGCATCTGCCTCCACAGTGCTGGGATTAAAGGTGTGTGCTACTACCACCTGGCTCAAAGACACATTTAAGGTCAGCAGCTGTGGTAATCCTGTTACTGCCTAGCACACTGTCCCTTGCAAGTCTAGTCAGTAAACCTATTTTCTTCCTAACAGAGGGGGAGGCAAAGGCAGATAAAAATTGAGACCCAGACTGTCTCAAGGAGGAGCTGAGCAGGATGCCACAGGCAGTAATTGCATAATGGTATGGACCACAGCTTACACTTAAGCTCGGATCTTAATCAACTACTGATCCTCGGGTCATTTACCTTCTGAGAACCTCAGTCTTCTCACCTGTGACAGAACGTGTTGGCTCACAGAACGTGGGGTACAAATGTGATACTACTTAAAAACACAGGGTTCGGGGCTGGAGAGATGGCTCAGCGGTTAGGAGCACTGACTGCTCTTCCAGAGGACCCAGGTTCAATTCCCAGCACCCACATGGCAGCTTACAACGGTCTATTAACTCCTGTTTCAGGGGATTTGACAACTTCACACCAATGCACATAAAATAAAGTTAAATAAATCATAATAAATTATAACCCCCCCCCCGAGGGTTCAAATACCACCTCTACTGCTTCCTAGCTGTATAATCCACAGCAAGTCAACTCCCATTGTCTCAGCTTCCACTAAACGAGGACAATATCACTTTACAATAATATTTTGGGAAGAAAGGATGACAAAAGTAAACCACGAGAAGAGCGCTCCGTAAACGTTGGCCATTATTACTGCGTGGAAAAGGGAAGAGACTTCAAATGGAAGGGGTGGTGGGCAACCGGCTGCCGTGTCACGGAACACATGACAAAGTTTTGGAAACTGACACACTTGCTGGCAACCTCTTGCCCTTTGCAGCTGTGTCCACTTCCGGGGGGAACCAACAGGCTCTTTTAAGCCCTCCCTAATGAAGATGGTTGTGCCTAAACTGGCAGACAGGCACGTGAACGCCCCAGCGTGGAGTAAAAGTCAACTTATATTTCCCTTTACTTCCCGCGTGGAAGCGACAGGCCGCACAATCCCTAAAGCACAGGACCACGAAACCAATTAGTCAAAGAAGTGGTGTCGCAGTTTGGAGCCCCGTTTCCTTGCCCCTGGATGGGAGGCGTTTCCTTCCTACCTTCTTCCACGGACCGAGCCCACAGCACAGGAGCAAAAACGAACCCGAGTGGTCTCCGGTCGGGACTAAGTTCCTTACCTCAGTTTACCAACCCTGCACCTCTCCACCCCCAACGGGTCGCTAAAACGACGCACTGCCGAGTGAGGCCTTCGGGGTTCCCTTTCCCGGAGGGGCTGAGCCCTCTCCCTCTTACCTCAGTTCCCCGCGATTTCTCCATGGTGCCAAATTCACCAGGTGCAGGAAGCCATATTGCCCTCGCTGCTGACCAAGAGTGTGCTCACTGGCTACTGCGCCTGAGCTGTGGACCAATCACACCATAGGAAATAGGAAAAGCCGGTTCCGCGCTCGCTCGCACCCCGCCTTTAACATGGAGGGGTTGGGTAGCCCGGGCGGTGATGGGAGTTGTAGTTTTATCCGGCGTGCACTAGAAGGGGAGCTGCCTTAGCAACGCATAAAACTCCTGGAGGCTGCTTCTCTCGTCTTTCTGTGTCTGCCAACTTTAAACCCTTCCCAGCACCTAGGATGGACGCGTCCAGGCGCCAGGCAACACTTCGCATCGTCCCTAGGGAGGAAGTAAAGGTGCTTTTCTACTTGGATGCCTAGAAGAAATGCCTAGTCTCTCTTTCAGCTCAGTCAGAAACTGGAATATTCTTAATCACTATGTATGCTATAAATGTTCTAGTCACTCAGAATTCTCAGACTGGGGCTGGCGAGATGGTTTAGCATGAAAAGGAGCTTGACACACGAACTACCTGAGTTCAAATCTCCAACCCCACTGGCAAACGTGGAAGGAGCGAACCGACTCCATGAAGTTGTCCTGACCTCCGCATGCACACCGCCCCCATATCAAGCAAACACACACACACTAAATAAATAAATGTAATAAAAAAGGCAAGGACTGGAGAAATGGTTCAGTGGTTAGTGGCTATTTTTCAGAGGAGCAGGGTTTGATTCCCAGTACTCACAGATCCATATTCATACTGACTTTTCTTTATTTTTCAGTTTTGATAATTTGTTTGCTTTTTGAGACAGGGTTTCTCCGTGAAACACTTCTTGCTGTCCTGGAACTCATTCTGTAGACCAGGCTGGCCTCAAACTTACTGAGATCCGCCTGCCTCTGCCTCCCAAATGCTGAGATTAAAGGCGTGCAACACTAGCCAGGCGTGTATAGGTGTGTGTGTGTGTATCCTGCCACTCTGCGCCATAGCAGTGTCTGGCATCCTCAGAAGACAGAGTAGGAACCACTACAACTGCAGTTTCTGAAATGCGTGAGTTGCCCTGTGGCAAACCAAAACCAAAACCAACCCCCCAAAAAAAAGTACTGGGAGGAAGGTGGATCCATGAATTCAAGGCCAGCCTGGTCTTCAGAGGGAATTCCAGGAGAAACCTCTCACAGAGTACACTAGACATATACTAGAGACACCTTGTAGCATTTTGGGAACAAAAAGGTTATTTTCTCTTAACAAGACTTTTTGTACTGAAAACAATTAAAAAAAATCTTTCTCAGCCTAAAAGACAGTTTTCCTTGGAACATGTAAAAACTGTGCAGTAGCCGTGTGTGGTTTAAGCAAACGTGCTAGGTGAGCCTGAGGGATGATAGATTACAAAGAATATATTTTTGTTATGGCTGGTCAATCCAGCCGTTTTTCTCCCCTTGTGTGTGTGGTTCAAGTGTGCACTGGGAGGCGACTGAGGCCTGAAGCCAACCATATGCTCCTGCCTTGCACCTCCAATAGGTTTTATTATTTTTTTTAAATTAATGAAAATATGTAATATTAATAGTTATTATTTACTGGTGCAGATGGTTGACATTTTTCCCTATTTTCCTCACTTTATGGAAGAATTTAAAAAAAAAAAGANATTCTGTCTGTGTGTATGCCAGCAGGCCAGAAGAGGGCACCAGACCCCATTACAGATGGTTGTGAGCCACCATGTGGTTGCTGGGAATTGAACTCAGGACCTTTGGAAGAGCAGGCAGTGCTCTTAACCACTGAGCCATCTCTCCAGCCCCCAGGTTTTATTATTTTTAAAAATTAATGAAAATATGTAATACTAATAGTTATTGTAAGAAAACGCCAGTGGGCTGATTTTAACCTGCAAATGTCTGAGATTTCTTGCTTGCTCTCTTCCTTACTCTGCCCCCTAAACACACTTTCTGTCAAACTTGAAAATGGAAAGGAAAGACCCTCAGCTGTTGTAAATCATGCAATTAATGTTGATTACTTACCAATAGGAACTTTGGGTCACTGTATAGAATGTTAAATCTGTTCTCTTATTACCGCTTGTTAACTAAACTGCGGGAGACAGACACCTTGGCTTGTTTCACTTCTTCAAGGCTCATCTTAGTCTTAGCGAACACCAGGTCAGGACAGGAGATGAAGCTGGTAGACTGCTTGCTTGACAGGGACTCAGTTCCCCCGCCCCCCCCCCCCCGACAAAAAAGATGGGCGTGCTAGCATTCATCAAGGACCACCTTGGATCAGATCAACTCCCCCAGCAGACACAGCACCTGTTTCTGGGCTAGGTCAGACCAAGTATACAAACAAGCTTCCAGGTCCTTGAGCAAGCTGGCTGTGCACTCAGACTGACTTCCTCTGGGGCAGGAAGGGTGGGCTGTTCACTGGTTGGAGGGCTGTGAGTTTATGCAGTGTTTCTTTGAAATCCAGGGCCCTGGGTTTGTTCCCCTCCCCCAAGCACTCTCCCTCTCTTCTTCTTTTTGATCCCCTATGGAAAGAAAGACTGCAGACCGTGCTGGTGCTTGTCCCTAGTTAGCACTTGAGTTTTCAGCTGCTCTTCTTCCACCCTGGCAGGGGCAGCCGCTCTCCTGGATTCTCCCCTCCCAGTAAATCTCTTGAACGAGGTTTGGATGAAGACCTTCTTTCTCCAGAGGAGAGGAGCTGGAGACAGAGGACTGGAGCAAAAAAAAAAAAAAAATCTTCCCCTAGCAGAGCAGAGCTGTTAAACTCAGGAGCACTGGATCCAAAATTTAAGACCTTCACTGGGGAAGCCTCTCCTGCTGGAGCAGAGCTCTTCTATCCAGGAAACATTTCCCAGGAGCAGGGCTGTAAGCTGCTAAGCTTACTGTAACCTACGCTACTCCCTGCGCCCGACTACCTGAATACTCTTCCACCTGAGCCCTCAGTATTTCCTGGCCCCTGAATGCCAGAATACTTTTCCATCCCAGCTAGAGCACTCCATATGCCTTGGCTCCCGACTGCCAGGATCTCTTTCAACCTGGGCTGTGAGACTTTGCAGCACCTGGTGATGATTGAGGATATTGACTCTGGCATCATGGAGAAATCACAGGCAAATGACGTAAGAGGAAAAGGGCCTCACTCAGAAGCGCACTGCAACACCCTTTTAGGGATGACTTGCAGGGGGAGGGTTGCAGGATTGGTAAACTGAGGTAAGAAGATTGGTCACGACCAGAGACCACCTAGGTTCATTTTTATTCTGTGGGCTTGGGTTCGTGGAAAGAGGAGGTAGGAAAAACCTTCCCATCCAGGGTGATGGAGAAGGGGCTCTACACTCTGACACCTTTGTCTTCTTGGTTTCTTGGTCCTGCTCCTTAGGGATTGTGCAACTTGTTGTATATGAACTACTCAACTTCACACTGTAAAACAAAAAACCCAGGATAGCCAAAACAATTCTGTACAGTAAAGGAACTTCGCAAGACATCACAGTCCCTGACTTCAAACTTACTACAGAGCTACACTACTGAAAACAGCCTGGGATTGGCATAAAACAGACAGGAGGACCAATGGAACCGAGTAGAAGACCCGGATATCAATCCACACATCTACGAACACCTGATTTTTGACAAAGAAGCAAAAACTATAAAATAGAATAAAGAAAGCATATTTAACAAATGGTCCTGGCATAACTGGATATCAACATGTAGAAGAATTAAAATACATCTATATCTATCACCATGCACAAAACTCAAGTCCAAATGGATTAAAGATCTCAATATAAACCACACTGAATCTGATAAAAGAGAAAGTAGGAAGTAACCTTCAAAGCATGGACACAGGAGACCAATTCCTAAATTTAACCCAGTAGCATAGACACTGAGAGATTCAATTAATAAGTCGGACCTCCTAACACAGAAAAGCTTCTGTAAAGGAAGGACATTGTCAACAAGACAAAACAGCAGCCTACAGAATGGAAAAAGCTCTTCACTAACCCCACAACAGACAGAGGTCTGATCTCCAAAATACATAAAGAACTCAAGAAATTGGTCATCAAAAGAACAAATAATTCAGTAAATAAAATGGGGTATGGATCTAAACAGAGAACTCTCAACAGAGGAATCAAAATGTCTGAAAGACACTTAAGGAAATACGCAACATCCTTAGTCATCAGAGAAATGCAAATCAAAACAACTCTGAGATTCCATTGTACACTTGTAAGAATGGCCTAATCAAAAACACTGATGACAACTTATACTGGAGAGGTTGTGGGGTAAAGGGAACACTCCTGCATTGCTGGTAGGGGTACAAGCTGGTACAGCCCCAATTGGATATCAGTATGGCGATTTCTCAGAAAATTAGGAAACAACCTTCCTCAAGACCCAGCAATACCACTTTTGGGTAGATATCCAAAGGATGCTCATCTGTGCCACAAGGACATGTGCTCAACTATGTTCATAGCAGCTTTGTTTGTCATAGCCAGAACCTGGAAACAACCTAAATGCCCCTCAAGTGAAGAATTGATAAAGAAAATGTGGTACAGTGACACAATGGAGTATTACACAGCAGAAAAAAAATAACGACAGCTTGAATTTTGCAGGAAAATGGATGGAGCTAGAAAACATCATATTGAGTGAGGTGACCCAGACCCAGAAAGACAATTATCACATGTACTCCCTCAGCAGTGGGTTTTAATTAAAACAACGAAAGCCAGCCTACAAATCACAATCCCTGAGAACCTACACAACAATGAGGACCCTAATAGAAACATATATGTATCTATTCTACATAGGAAGTAGAAAAAGACAAGATCTCCTGAATAAATTGGGGGCCTGGGGACCATGGGAGAGGGTTAAAAGGGAGGGGGAGAAAAGGAGGGCAGTAGAGAAAAAGGTATAGCTCAATAAAATCAATAAAAAATGATTATCTGCAAAGTTGAAACATCAGAGAGCTCCAAGCAAACTTCTCCAAATTTAGAACAGCAGTTTCTATTAACGGAAGCAGATCACTAGAGCGCAGAGTGTGAGTCTGGCCAGGGACTTCTCGGATTGCTATTTTCATTAGAATTCTGTGGGTTTTGTTTAAAAGAGGATGTTAATTTTTAGTTTTTTTTATCAAGTACTG